TGCGTTTTCGTGAATATATGAAGATGGTAGGGATAGATTTGTGAGAAAGTGGCAAAATATGAAGAGGGGAGAAAAGTGGGTTACTTTTGCATTTTATCTCAAGTTTTAGGTCATTTGTGAAACAATCCATAAAATTATTGACCCGGATTATTTGTTTAATAATAATCTCTTTAAAACCAAAAGAATTATTACATCTAAATTTTAGTTTAATGTGCATTTAATGTAATATAATTAAAAAGTTAATAAATTAGTTTAAAAATATATTAAATATAATAAACTATTTAATATTTAGAGAACTAAATAAAAGTTAAAAATCTGGGTTGACGAATAAGAGGAGGATAAATTTTGGTGTATTTTGTATATATATGGCATTTCTGAATCTATAAATAAGATTAAATAGCTCAATTAGATTTTTCATTTTCTCTCTTGCATGCTCGTGATGACGACAAACATAAACAACTTTCCGAAGAATTTGGTAGTCGAGATACTCTCTAGGGTTTTGGCGGTATCTCTGGCACGATTACGATCGACATGCAAAAGATGGAACGTTCTGATTGGAGATGAAATACTTGCTAAGAAGCACTATGCTAATGCACCAAAGGACTCTTTAGTTATCTTGCTGATTAATTTTAGGGTTTACTTAGTAAACATAAATCTCTGTGGAATCCACGACAACGTTGCTCCATCAGTTATGATAACAAGTCAATTTAGCCTCAAAGACCCTCTCTTTAGTTGTTCGAAACAAGTCGATATAAGACATATGTTCCATTGCGATGGCTTATTATTATGCATCTCTGTAGACAATAGAATGGTTGTTTGGAATCCGTGGTCCGGAGAAACCAGGTGGATCCAGCCTAGAGATCCCTACTTGAAATTTCGTTGTTATTCTCTAGGAAGATCCTCCTGCAATAAGTACAAAATCTTGATCAAGAAATGTAGCCGCGATACGAAATATATGACTTTACCTCTGATTCATGGAGGAGTTTTGTTGTGACTACTGACTGGGTACCATGGGGTCGTGGTATGTGTGTGAATGGAAATACTTATTGGATTGATGACAACCGAAATTTTTTACTATGTTTTGATTTCTCAACTGAGAGATTTCAAAGTGTGTCTCTTCCGGATGACCCTGAAGATAATATGTGGGACTCTGATGTGGCATTAACAGTGACTAGAGAAGGACAACAACTTTGTTTGTTAGCTACTCATGTCGCTGAATTTGCCGAAACCAATGTATGGATGGCAACTAAGAGTGAAATTACTGGAGCAATGTCATGGAGCAAGCTCTTAACAGTGGCGAGAAATGATTTGCCTATCGTTGTCAGTTTAAAGATGGGATAAATTTCTTGGCCTACGAGGAGAACAAAGTTATAGTGTCTTGTAATAACCCCTCGCGGTACAACAAGAACATCGTACACATTGTGGGAGAGGATAAATACATACAAGTAGATCATCTTGGTGTAAAACCTACAGAATTATCTTGGACCCCAGTTCTACTCAGTTATGTTCCAAGTTTGGTTCAAATCCAATAAGGTAATTAGTTCGTGTTATAGGTAAATGGAAACTACCAAGAACATGGCTTGTAATTAGCTATAGTACTCTTGATATTCTCTAAGATGTATTTAGTTTGCATTTTAGCTATCCTATAATTTCTTCCAAAAAAAATTTCAGCTTACATCCTATGTGAGTAGAACTATGTTGATTTTCTTTTGTGATATGGACATTATATATTATTCGTGGGGAAAACTAATTTTTTTTAACTTGATATTTTTTTCATCTTGCTCTTAACTTTAACACTTAGCTAATTTTAATCTGAACTAAATATTTAATCAAATTCACTACATGAACTATGCGATGTGAACTAGTTTAGAAAAAAAATGAGAGTATAAAAAAACACATATTTATAATAGTTTAGGCTGAAAATGGCCCATTTCATCGTTTTAGGTATATGCAATCAACCATTTTGCTAACATGTCGTCCAATTTAACAAACTGACCAACCTCGTTTAGGTTAATGTCGTTTTGGGCATAAAGAAAACTAGTTCATGTAGTGAATTCGAATGAATATCTATTTCGGGTTAAAATTTGTGTGTAAAAGAGCACGATGAGTAAAGCTCGGAATGAAAAAAAAGACTTTTTCTTATTTTTCATGATCATCAAAGTTGTATGGTCTCTTTTAAGTTAACAACAAGACCGGTTAGACCACCTTTCCTAGATACATGGACCACACCAAGACTATCCTGATTTGCATTTGACACTGAAAAAAAAGACTTTCTTCGCATGAGAACTAATAAATGA